GGTCAAGAGTAGAGGATCTCAGGTTCAGGGTCCTGCATTGGTAGGGCGCCATGTTCAAGATCTAGGGTTTAAGGCTTATAAACCCTAAACTCTAAACCCTAAACCCTAAGCCCTAAACCCTTAGGGCTTAGGGGCCAGCATCCAAATGCTCTGCAACAGAAGCCTGGGAGCCGCTGAGGAGGCTGCTGTGAATACTCGGGAGGCCTGCCACCAGCTTCCATAATCAGGGGCACCATTAAGGGGGATATAGGGTTTAGGGTTTAGGGTTTAGGTTTAGGGGTTATATGGTGGTATATAGGGATCCCTTAAAAGTAATATGGGGGTTCTATAGGGGTTAGATAATGGTATATAGGGTTTAGGGTTTCCCAGAATGAGGGGTAGTTGCAATTCAGCTGTAGGCCGTTCGGCCTGCTCCCCTCTCCTGAAGGCAACTGCACATGTGGCAGTTTCCCTAAATAGGAGGAATCCCAATATGGATCCCAATATACTATAGTGCTTAGTATAAGGACACCCAACAAAGGTACCCCTACTTTTCGGAAACCTACATTTTGGGTCTGGTTTCAGACCAAATTCCTGCTGAGGGATCACAATCTGAGCCAAAGTTTAAACCCTAAATCCTAAACCCTAAACCCCTAAACCCTAAACTGCTACTAGACCCTAAACGCCTAAAGCCCTAAACCCTAAACTGCTAGTATCTCCCTCTATAACCCCTAGGGCTCGATAGGGATTCTATAGGAGTCATATGGGGAATATATAGTAATAATGGAAAGAATTGGAAACTACTAGAGCTAGTCTAAACTCCCCCTTGACAACCCCTACAGTAGTCCTCTATATCTATATAATCCCTCACATAACCCCCTTCAAGGAGTTTAGATCCTAAATCCTAAGCCCAAAACCCTAACCCTATACCCTAAACCCTATATAACCCTAAACCCCAAACCCCAATACCCTAAACCCCTATAGAACCCCCTTTAAGGCGTGGTAGACTACGGCTCATTATAGTAGTTTCCATGTTCTTTTCCATTATCCCAATGTAACCCCAATATATACCCTATAATCCGTATATAACCCTATATAACCCCAATATAACCCCAAATGTAACTTGTGAGGCGGGAACCGGGAGAAAGTCCACTCCATGTGCCTCCAATGCCTCCGCCTAGAGCCTTGGAACTCAGCAGCCCAATAGGGTTTAGGGTTTAGGGTTTAGGATCATAGGATTAGTACTATTAATACTATTAGTATTACTATTTCGATTATTGTAGTACTATTAGTACTAGTAGGACTATTAGTACTACTATTACGATTAATACTATTATTACTGTTATTACTGTTATTGCTACTCGTACTATTATTACTATTACTACTCTAACTACTCTAACTACTGTTACTACTGTTACTACTATTTTCCCGTTATTCGTATTGTTCCTATTGTTAGTCTTGCAAGTAAAGGGTTAATGATAGCATCGCTACTGCGACTTCAGCAGGCCTCGCAATCCTGGGTTGCTGTTAAGGACCATAATTTAAGTGGATTTAGGGTTTAGGGTTTAGGGTTATTATGGCGGAACCATGTTAATTGCTATGTATATGATTACCCACTATTATGGGAAGTCAACTTAAGTTCCTTAACAGCAACCCAGAATCACCAGCACCGTTCAAGGTCTGACCGCGAATACCCCACAGACGGCTGCGCTGTTTGCATCTGCCTTTCCCCCTCTAAACCTTAACCCTAAACGCCCTAAACCTCTTTGCCGAGGAAGCAACATCGTCCCCTCGCCAGGCATCGCTGCGGTCCCCCAGGGGCGGGTTTGCCTCCCAATCCGTACTTTTTGTTACTTTTTCTTACTATTTTTACTATTATTACTATTATTACTATTATTACTATTATTACTATTATTACTATTATTACTATTATTGCGATTCTTACTATTCTTACTATAATTACTATTCTTGCTAGTATTGCAATGCACAGCGCAGTGGAAAGAGCAAGTCCCCGGGCCTGCCAGGGGTCAGCGTCCGTTCGCCAAGGCTGCGATGGCGTCACGTTGCCTCCGCAAGACACAAGGGTGTGGAATTCCGGGTAAAGGGGATATATAGGGACTTATGAGGATATATAGGATTACCTAGTGGATATATAGGGTTATATGGGGATTTACACGGTTTAGGGCTTAGGGTTCAGTAGCTTGCATGTCACGGTTTGCCATCTCAAGCAAGATTCATCCCGTCCTTGCACCACCCAACAGTCCAATCAACCAAGTCAACTTCCCAGTACAAGGCCGCGACCAAGCGGAGCCTGATTTCGGCCCGCTTTCTTCCTGGGCAGCGAAGGCTTCTGAGGCAGAGAACTCCAACGTTTGAAGATTGAGTATACATCCCCTCCCCTTTATAACCTAAACCCTATACAACCCCATATAACCCTATATACTCCCCGCAAACTCTGAACCCTAAATTGTAGTTTCCGTTTTTTTTACTATCCCCTCTAGAATCCCAATATAATTCCTGCCTAATGAATATGACTCGTACGAGTGTGTTGTACTTTATTTGGCATGTTAATGGTAACGTGCTGGCGGCTTCTGGCTGCACCAAAGTTAAGGGTTTAGGGTTTAGAGTTTAAGGTTTAAGGTTTAGGCTTTAGAGTTTAAGGTTTAAGGTTTAGGCTTTAGAGTTTAAGGTCTAAGGTTTAGGGTTTAGAGTTTAAGGTTTAAAGTTAGGCTTAAAGTTTAGGGTTTAGAGTTTAAGGTTTAAGGTTTAGGGTTTAGAGTTTAGGCTTCAATGATTAGGGTTTAGTGCTTAGGGTTTTGGGCTTAGGCTTTTCTACCTGGAACCCTGAGCACATTGCACCTTCCTGCTGTGGATCCGAATAATATAGACTCCTACGAAAGGTACCTGACCTATACTTTATGGAAATCCCAAACCCTAAATACGGGTTTCCATGTTCTTTTGCGCTATCCCTTTAGAACCCCTTATATACCCTAAACCGTAAACCCTAATCCCTAAACCCTAAACCCTGCATCCCCGTTCATAACGCAAAGTGTGAGCCAAGGTTCTTCAGCGGCAATGCGCAGCCCTGGGCCCACACCGCCTGTCAAGTCATGAAGATACTGAAAGACTCCAGGGGAATATGTGTAGGGTTTAGGGTTTAGGATTTAGGGTTTAGGGTTTAGGTTTTAGGGTATTATGGGGTTTCCCAACAAATAGGGGGTTCCTTTGAAGGGGACATAGGGACAGGGGTAGGGAATATGTGAGGGTTTCCCAACAAATAGGGGGTTCCTTTGAAGGGGACATAGGCCTGTGACGGGGGTATATAGGGTTTAGGGATTAGGGCTCCCCAAAATTAAGGACCCCTTTTTGAAGGTCCCACAATAAGGATTATAGCATATCCGGGTTGGTCTGTATTGCGATTCCTCGCATTTATGAAAGCTACCATAAATCCCAAGTTTCCATGTAATTGTCCATTTTATGATTCTCCATCACTGGGGGAAATATCCTTGCCTACTTCAAACCCACCCCATACTCCCTAAACCCTAAACCATAAACCCTAATCCCTAAACCCTGATCCCTAAACCCTGATCCCTACGGCCAACCTTCTCGTCCTCGTAGTCAGTCTCACGAAGAGCGCGGACATTTCGGGCTTGAGTTGAAGGCCACTCCTGCCGCCGTATCTACTGTAGAAGCCTAGGGTTTAGGGGATTTAGGGTTTAGGGTTTAGGGGTTTAGAGTTTAGGGTTTAGGGCTTTAGGGTTTAGGGGAGTTCAGGGTTTAGGGATCATTTCCAGTGCTTTAATTGGGGATATTTCCTCAAATAAAGGAGAATCCGATGGATAAGAAAGTGAAAAGACAGGAGTTATGTAATGTAGGGGTACAGGGATAATTATTTGTATCATGGTCCTATGTTCCTTGTATAAGTGCAAGTATTTAGGCCCCTCGAGTACTTGCCGTGACCACATCTTAGACACCATCTCATCTCTTGACTTCTGCATTTCATTGCAGCATATGATTGATTCCTGAAAAGATTGCTAGACACTTATTCAGGGGGCGGCGTGGGGGGGTGGGGGGGCGGGGGGAGGGGGCGGCGGGGGCGGCGGGGGCGGGGGGAGGGGGGGCGGCGGGCAGGTTGCTGCCTGAACCCTAAACCCCAAAGAGTAATCTCCATGTTCTTCTCCATATTCCTATGTAACGCTGAACCTTAAACCCCTAAACAGTAGCCTCCATTTTTCCTCTCCATTACTACCATATAGCCCTAGCCCCTAACCCCTAAACCCTAAACAGTAGTCTCCATTTTCTTATCCATGAAAACTATCTAACCCCCATTTCGACCCTATATAATCCCCATTAAACCACATATGTATGTGTATATATACCCTGAACCCTAGACATCCCCAAACCCTAACCTTTATATTACCCCACAAAACCCCATAACGCCCCTATCTACTTGAGGGGGACTGCGCTGCAACGAACCAGAGCCCCAAACCCTACACCCCAGCTTTGCGGTGTAGGGTTTAGGGTTTAGGCTTCGCACGAAGTCCTCCGAGCCACCGGTTCCAGCGGACACGTGCTTTTCAGCAGCCCGCACAGCTGCACCTGCCATGAAGTAGGGAATAAGAGGATATAATCCCTACATAGGTTCTAGCTTTTTTAGGATGAATAAGAGGATATAAATCCTATGTAAGGTTTAGGGTTTAGGTTTAGGACTTACGGTCTAGGGTAGGGAATAGGGCAATAGAATCCCGAGATAATAATCTCTCTAGAAGACATTGCTATATGGTCCCGATATGATACCTTCCATATTCCCTACCAACTCCCAGCGGCTCAAAGCAATTGCTTAGACCAAATCTGTGGGCACCCGCACAGTATCCAAGTCAAGCCTTCTGAGCCCATATGACCCATAAACTTACCTCCTAGTATCCGCCTTACTAATTCGTAGGGCTCTATAGGGCACATACAGGAGTCACATTATGTAGTATAATCGAAAAATGGAAACTACTATTTGAGCCATAATCTAAACTCCTAGTATCGCCCTTAATGTGCCCTATAGTAGTCCCCTATATAATCCCCTTTGAGGAGTTTAGACCCTAAACCCTAAATCCTAAACCTTAAACTTTAAACCCTATGTACCCCTGTGTACCCCTATGGCATCCTCTGTAATCCCCTCTATAACTCCCTTCAATCTTTTTTAGACTACAGCTCATATAGAATAAGCAAGCCTCCACTGCAGCCAGAACCACCGCCAATTGAGCCGACTCCTGTCAAGCTTCGTGGGCTGGTTTGACAAGGTACGAATAGTAAAAGTCATAGTAAGAGTAGTAATAAAAGTAATAATAATACTAACAATAAGAATAGTAACAGTAACAGTAATAGTGATGGTAATAGTTAATACTAGTAGAAATAACCATACAAATAGTAATAATAAAAAATGGGAGTAGTAATAGTAATAACGGCAGTAACATTTGGCTTCGCCGGCCTGCACCAGGTGCCAGACAAAGGCCCACGCCTCCACTGCAGCCACTGGCAGAGCCGCCTGCATTTGGCTTTGCAAAAGGACATGTGATGTGTTGCCTGCGCAAGGTTGGTTAAGGGTTTAGGCTTTTGGGTAACGTGGGATGTTAAGTCGTCCCCCTAACCATGGCTGTCGCTTGCTAACAACTCCTACTACAAACCATTGGTTGTTGGACAACGCTAGCTGCCTGTGCATTTCAGAAGAAAAACCTTTGCCTGCACGACGTCAGCGTGAGCATAAGATTGCCCGGGCTCATATGAGCCATAGTCAAACTCCTAGTATCCCCCTTAATAACCCCTATAGTAGTCCCCTATATAATCCCCTATATAGCCCCCTTTTAAGGAGTTTAGACCCTGGACCCTAAACCCTAAATAGTAGTTTCCATTTTCTTTTCCATTATCCCAATATATCCCCTACATAATCCCCTATATATAGACAAAGACCCTCATATATTATGATCATCATGATCAGCATGCGATCGCCGCCTCTGAGCTATAGTCTAAACTCTTAGGGTTTAGGGTTTAGGGTTTAGGGTTTAGGGTTTAGGGTAACTGTTACCACAATGGGTTATAGGAGTTATAAGAACCCCCCCTAATAAGGCCCCTTTAAGGACAGTTACTGGGAGGGGGAATAACCCAACCTATATGGTAGTTTCCCAAAATGGGGGGACCCCAATATAGACTCCAATATACTATAGCCCTTATTATTGGGCCCCAAAATGGTACCCCTAATTTTTGAAAACCCTAAACCCTATGTACCCCTATATAACCCTGTATAACCCTATATAACCTCTATATATATATATATGGGGTAACCCCTATGGGGAATGACCCAAACTATCCCCCTTATTCTCAGGCTGCGGAGCGCCAAGGCACTTTGGCCAGCCGTCCAGGAATCAGATTCGACTGAAGGCGGAACATTAACGGGAAAGTGACATACTATCCCCCTTAATAACCCCTATAAACCTATATAACCCCCCTTTAAGGAGTTTAGACTACAACTCGGCATGAAACCCCAGCTTGCCTGCAAGCAGGCCAGAGTGCCCAAAGGGCGGGTGGCCATGGCCTCTCTGGGTTTTGGCTTTAGGATTTAAAGTTTAGTGTTCAGGGTTTCACCCTAAACCCTAAACCCTAAACCCCAGGGTTGAGGGTTTGGCGCTAGGGTTTAGGGTTCAGCTGCAGTGAAGCGCAGCAGGTGGGAAAGCTCTCTTGGAAGGCCACCTGTGGAGTAGACACTCGGCCCGTGGGGTGCGGCCCTGTTGGCCTGCAGGCAGCAAGACAGACCATGCAGGAGGAGCATCAGTCTATTATGGTATAATATAATATATTATACTATAACATACTATATTCTACTATATGGTACCAGCCACATGAAAGTACCAGAGCTCCGAACCTCAAGGTAAGCCTTATCGCTTCTGGATTTGCAGAGCTGCATCAACAGCCATGCTTGCAAACAAACTAATATCTCAGAGCACCGTGAGCCCAGAAAGTTTCAGGACTTCAGGCATAGCCACTCGGCTCCAGAGTAGTAGTAGTAGTAGTAGTAGTAGTAGTAGTAGTTGTTGTTGTTGTTGTAATGATAATACGTACACTCTAATTATAATGGTAGTATACATGATGGTAAAAATTGCATGCATGTTTTACCTGCATCTGTGAGATTCTGCTACTTGCCTTGGAGGTTGCGCTCATGCTGCCAGCGCCGAAGAACGGGCCTGAGCCTTGAATGGGAATCACAAGACAGACCAGATCACATTCAGATTGACATAGACTGGGTTGCTGTTAAGGAACTTAATTCTAGGTCGATAGTGTAACTTAGTTTAAGTTCCTGAACAGAAACCCAGTAGATTGACGTTCAGCTCACAAATGGATTCTACTTCTCAAGGTCGGGTCGTTCTCGTTCCGCGGCGCTGGGCGTGCCTCGAGCGTCTGGGCCTTGCAACTTGTAAACCTCTGTCAGGCTGTAGTTTTCATGTCATTTCCCATGCGTTCCACCTGATTCCCCATATTCCGATGACTACTCCCCTTGTACTACCTTGTGGCAACTCGCAACACCCAGCCTACAGGCGCAGTCTCTAGCTGGTCAAACTGAACACTGTTAAGCGTTCAGTGAGAGGCTGTCGGAACCTCCTCATCAATGCAAGAAAATGCTGAAATGGTGGGTTTCCTAAAATTAGGGGTGCCCCTTTAGAGAGTCCCCATAATGAGGATTATTATGAGAAATTGGGATCGATATTGGGGGTCCCCTTATTTTGGGAAACGACCTACATCCTATACCCTATATTGGGGTCCCCAACCCTAAACCGTAAACCCTAAACCCTAAACCCGCCCCCCTTCACCAGCCTGGAGGCCGGTCGCTCCAGTCCTGACAGTCTGATGTTTGTGCATCTGGCAACAGGTTTAGGGTTTAGGGCTTGGGGTGAAGGGCTTAGGGTTTAGTAGGGCTTAGGGTTTAGGGTTTAGGGTTGAGGGCTTAGGGCGGCTTCGAGTTGGAGCAGTGCACAGAACAGGTCGGCACAAGCTAGAATCTTGGAATCTCACAGTTCTTTCTTGTGAGCATTATGCAGGACAAGTTCATCAACAATGCATGAGGAAAGATGGGCACCTCAATGATTCCCAACTAGAATTTGGCAATGCCGGGCCCTGTTGTGCAGTGGCTGAGAGCATTGAACCTGCCCGCCTGCCCGGCTGGAGAACCAAGAATCTAGAACATGATTCGTATTTCCTACGTCTGTAGCTACTTCAGGAGTGGTGTAGTCTACCTCCTACGCTACGTGCAATACTTTCAGCATTCTCTCGTTTCAATCTGTGCTGCAAGCGATAGGAAGGCTAGACCTTCACTTCGCTCTCTCCCTGTAACATCAGATCAGAACCCCAAACCCCAAAAAGGACAGAACCCTAAACCCCAAACCCTAAACCGCACTTCTGTCCGCATCCTCTTGTACGAGCCCTGTACCTTGCCAAGGACTCCAAATTAAACAGATCCTGCGGTTTTTCTTAAGACGAATACTGAAATACCTATGGATTGTGTTGTGTTTCTGAAGATACGCCAAAAAAAAATCCTTATTACAGCAGGTCCTAGAACGTCCTAGATCCCACAATTCTCGGAAACTGACGCCTAAATGACTCTAAATAACCCTCAACGAACCTTAACTAAACCGGCCCTAAACTACCCATCAACTCAAACTAAGCTAACCTTAGGAAACCCTGAACTAACCCCTAAACCAACCCTCTAGTAACCCTTAAGTAGCCTTACCTGATCCCCTCCCCCTAATATTAAACCCCCCCACCCACGTTAATATTAAACACTGCCAAAATATTTCAACATACGACATAAGGGGAGTAGTTTATATTAGGGGGGACCCTAAACCCTAACCCTAAACCCTAAACCCCCTATTTTGAACCCTAAACCTCGCAGAAGGCCCCCTCTGCCTCTGGAGCCTGGCGCCGGTTTTGCCGCGAGCGGCGGCCGTCTGCCAGGCCTGGCTTAACCCCCCCTGTTTAGGGTGAAGGGCTATATAAGGATTATAGGGGGTATATAGGGATAATGGAAAAGAAAATGGAGGCTACTATAATGGGTAGGCCTGGGTTTAGGGTGAAGGGCTTTAGGGTTTTAAGGTTTTAGGATTTTAGGGGTTTAGGGTTTAGGGTTTAGGGCTTTAGGGTTATAGGATTTTAGGGGTTTAGGGTTCAGGGTTTAGGTTTATGGTTTCGGGGTTTAGGGTTTTCGGGTTTTAATGGTTTAGGGTTGCGGGGTTTAATGTGTGTTCGCGTGATGGGTTGCACTCTGGTGCGTGGGCACACCCGGGCCGCTAGCACCCAGACGAAGCAGTCAACCCACGCCATGACCAACCGGAGTTCCGGGTTTTGTTCCTCAAGTCTTATCGGCATCCCGGTGGGGGCCAAGGTAGCGCAGATGGGGGCCGTGCTTTCAGTGAGAAAAAGATGATATCGGTTAGTAATAAACCCGGCGAGGAGCAAACAAGGATGGCGGAGGAGGAAAAATTTGGATTTGGTGGAAAGAGCAGCTGGCTGCCAAAAGCAAAAATATTGTCCGGCACCCACCAAATTTTGAGGTCAGATTTGGTTTGGGAACGAAAGCTCAGATTTGTTTAGCAGCCGCGTCAAACAAAACTTGGGCGTCGTCGGAAAGCGGTCCGACAGAGATCAGACCCTAAACCCTAAACCCCAAACCCTAGGGTGCCACCCCAAAGCTCAGATTCGGTCGGGGAGCGATAGAGGAAGGCCCAGAAGGCTTCTTAGGAACCCTAGGAAGCATTTAGCTATAGGCATTTAACTTCTTTACAATAAGAACCCCTACCTCAATATTTAAATGCTTGGGTTTCAATGCTTCATAGTCCCCCTAAGCTTCACCTGGGCTCCATGACAATCTTTGTCGCTCGCGAAGCTGAGAAAGCTTCGGGCTCTGCGCGGCGGGTGTCGAGGCCTCAGCTAAGCCTTGAGGGTTTAGGATAGGCTTGGGGGACCTTATAAAATTACTTGTCCATGGTTTTTTTTTGGTGGGATTATATAATGACTAAGGGTTTGAACAAAGTCATGTTCAAACCTCTTGCGTGGTGGTGGAAAAATCAGCAGCAGCAGCAGCAGGAGTAGGAGAAGTAGTAGTAGTAGTAGTAGTAGTAGGTGGTCATTTTGCATCATGAGAATCATCTTTCTTGGTGGCGGAATAACAGTATTTGCCATAGTAACTGATGGTAATGGTGTCAGTGTTTTGCTTGCTGTTCCGGTTTTTCAGGTTGTTCGAGATCAGCCTGAAGATTCCACAGAGATTGCGAATACCTCGATGGACCTCAAGAGCCTTCACAGAACAAGAGAGTAAATGACCGGCCTTTTGGAGATGCCAGGCCGATTGCATAAACAGGCCAGCTTGTCTCTTGTCCTCCCCCACGTCGCTCGTGTATTGAGGCGGGGGCGGTCTCGGTACAAATGACAGACTTCAACTTGCATCTCGCGAAATGCTACCTGGTAATTAGTAGGGAATGAGGGAATATACTCCCTGCAAAA